ATGGTCCCATTCGGAAATGAAGAGTTACTAACGCAGTGAAGAACGTTAATGGATGCCAAACCTAAGACAATTTCAGTCAGACCACTTTTTATGTCTTCTTATGAAAACGAATACTTATCATTAAACAAAGTTGTAAGCAAATTCCTTAAAATTTACTATTATTGAAGACTATTTAATATGCTATCAACCACGATGGATTTTGCAAAAACTGCACTATGAGTGATAGTATTATCATATTTAAAAAATAAACCTGGTCGTAAAGATCTTTGAAAGGTTAAAGCTTGTTAATCGTTCTCTCTAAAACAGCAAATTTTATTTCATTTGTTTCTGAGTATTAGAACGTACGCACTTAACTTAGAAAATAGCGTATTTTAGTCAATGCATTTCCGTAGTGTCAATGCTGCTTACAGATCTAACACTGAAAATAGTTTATTATTCAAAAAAATTGCGTAAAGATATAAATTACACTGTGTTCGTTTTAAATAGGAATTAAGCCTAAATATAAAATGAGTGAATTTAGATTGCACACAGTGCTCCAAGCTTCGGATTCCTGATCGCCCCCCCCCACACACACACAGCCGCTTACTGCGTCAGAAATCAAAAGCATTCGATATTACGCTGTTAAGTGTTCTGGAACCTAATGTTCAACTCATTTCATCGCATATGAGATACATTAAATGCTTACACATTCGATTCACAACATAATGGATTCAACAAAAATGCCTTCACATTTCAAGTTTAATTACAGGATCTGTTTCAAAATAGAAAGTAGTAGACGAAACTGGCCGAATAAAAACATTTGTAAGCATAAATTAAAAGATGTCATGCCTGCAATAATTAGGCATTCACAAATCTCCAAAGAAAATTAAATAACGAAATAAAATGATTTAGGGTCTTAACTAGGTTTTATTAGCTCATATTCACGAAATACGAGATACATTCCCTGCTGAGATGAAAATTTGCATGAAAAAGGCAAACCAGTCAAACTACAATACACTTGCTCGTTTCTATTTCTTCGAAGTCCAAAACTGCGCAAATAATACATTCGAAAGAGAACTATTTAGAATAATTAGCATTTCAAGTAAAATTTTTCTGAATCTGGCTATTGTCTTTTGCACTTCCACGAATCTGTCTGTGAGGAAAGAAAGTTCTAAATTTGAATCCCCAGTCAACATTCTACTAGTATACAAATGCACAGTGACATAACGTATATATATATATATTTTTTTAATGTATGGGTATTTTCTGATTATTCGCACCTACACCGAAAAGTCACGTACATTTTGGCGATTAATTTTTCATCAAGCCAATGCACAAAAGGTAGCAATCATTTCCAAAATAGCCACGCACTCGATCAGAGTATGGCAAAGCACGTAAGGGTTATCTGCTTACAGGGAGGTATGCCTAAGTGAAGGACTTGGAAAGCGAAATTGACTCGTATCGACGTTACGCATAGGGATAATCACGAAAACGGAATCAAACCCTGGTCTAACTATCAGTTTTCAGCAACTTTACCGCTCGGCCATTAATAAGGGATGGCGCATAAAGAATTCCACACGAAAACAATCAATAATTTTTTTTAATGCCAAGAACATCAGGAATAAAACATTTAGCTTTTTCGAGAAAACCTACGTTTTTGTGCTGTTGTTCTCTTCATATACACAACGATGTATTTTCGCCCAAACATCAGAAAATTGCAAAAATTCCACATCGCTGGCATTGCACTCCGGTTAAACTGACATGTGTTACGTACATACATGGATTGCCATACTTTTCGGCAACATCGTGGGCTGTCACAAAACTATTATCTTGGCAACATATAGCTTTTCGAAGGATATCTGCCTAAAGGGAGGGATGCCTCCGCGGAGGACGTTCTAAGTGAAACTAGTTCGTATATACGTTACACATGAAGAAAACCACGAAACGCCCATGCAGCCAACCTGTCTGCGAGATACGAACCTCAAGATCGAACTACCAGTGTTCAGAGATTTTACCGCTCGATCGCTGGTGAGCCGACGTTTCGTCGGGAGTGCGGACACTCAAAAAACACTTACGTAGGTAGCGAATTGCGAATTAAAAGAACAAACATAAAATACATTATCAAAGGAAATTGTTTTATTTATATTAAAATTACAGACACTACGAATGAAACATTCCCCTCCCCCTCAAAAATAGCATTAAAAAATTTGTCAATGTTTATTCATACATTTATTTACGTTTTCCTTTCTCTGTCTAATCTCTACGTCTACTTCACAATGGGATTTTTAAATTAGAAATGTAAATCTAATCATTATACTTTATTATAAAATAATTATCTGGCAATTTTATTCACATAGGTTTTGAAAAGACTGAAGGCCAATCCCTCTAAATGAACTTTTGAAAACAAGATTTATATATAACAGTTAAGGAAATAAAGTTTTCAATTCAAAATGACACCGTCACCTCTAAACACTCTCATCAATGTAGATCATCTTATACATACTGTTTACGGATCTGTTAGAGAACATAACTCAAAGGCTATTTTGCATCAACTGATTTTACTCACTGTTTCTTCGTACGAAATTTTTGTAACTACATCTGTAAAATAATTGAAATTATATGTATTAGTCATTCAAATGCATAATCTTTAGAAATAAATTACTTACAGTAGCATTTGATTATATGATCGGTATAATTTAACATATACCGGTTCGGTTAATCGAGATACTTCAATATTAAATGCAGTTTAGTTGATTATGGAACTGTCCTATAGGGATATCCCTTGAGAAGATTTGTTGGATTGGTACAAAAGGGTATCCTCAAAGTACAAAAGGGCTATCTATTTAAGAGACTGTGTGCCTTCGTTGAGGACTTTTTAAGTGAAATGGCTTGTATTTACATAGTATCTCAATTTGTTTGAGGGCAGGGGGGGGGCTATCTGGAGCACTCTCCAAGAGAAATTAACTCTTATTCACGTCTGATAGACGCCCTTAACAAGAACTGGACAAAACAGATAAAACGAAGGTCTGCAATTTTAAAATTAATATTTTTAGGATAAAATTGGAATATTCTGAATAACGGTTATGGTAACTATAGTGTATGATATATAATCAAAATATGATAATTGTTTCATAAATTAATTGAGCCTAAGTCACATACTTTTAATAGTTTTATGTCTTTGCTTAATTTGCCCATATTTACTATATGCATTTCTATCTTTGCAAAACCTTCTCACGGCAGCAGCACGACCATGAAAACCAAGCAGATGTGCTTCCTTGCGGATGGTATTCATTGAAACAATACTCCGGATGCCTGTTGAAACTCCTCGCGGATGAGGGCCATCGGTTGGGTGCGGTTCTTCCGAATTTCCGCAATTCTATGAGACCATGTAATTTGATGGCCTCAAAAATGTTCATTTTTGAATCGTTATAACTCTATAAAAAAGGAAAATTAATTGTCGGTCTCGTCGGTCTCTATCTCTCAGTTTCGTCGGTCTCTATCTCTCAGTTTCGTTAGTCTGCCTCTATCTCTCACTCGTCGGTCTCTATCTCTCAGTTTCGTTAGTCTGCCGACTCGGGGCACATTCCGACAATCACCGCTCACCTTCCACTTCTTAATCACATAGGCCACTGTCGATTTTGGGTACTTCAGCTCGCTAGATATTTCCCTTAAGGATCGGCCACATTTGTGATACCCGATAATTATACCTTTCTAGAAATCAGAGAGCTCCGAACTGCGAGGCATCTTGCATGCGATTGAAGCCGATGCTGTTTTCTATACGATATATACCAGCAGAGTCCGTGACATACCTTAGGACCACAGATATCGTCATTTGCATAGGTGTCCAAATACTTATTGGTAGTCAGTGTATTATGGGAACATGTCTTAGATCAAAAAATTGAGCATACAAAGAAAAGTGGCTAGTATTTAAAAATGCCCATCCAACTAAGCAGCTCACTTGGCCACAGAGATCGAACCTTGCATAAAATTAAAATGATTGATTGAAACGTTTTAAGACTCCCTTTATTTCATCCAACCAGTGATCGAGTGGTTAAGAATAATTGAATTTCGATCAGGGTCCGATCCCAGGCGAACGGGCTGGTTGCTTTTCCCCACGCCTAACTTGAATACAAGCTAGTTAAGTCTTCCACGAAAACATCCCTCTCCATACGGATAGCCCTCGTAGGCTTTGCCATATTCAGTAACCTAATCCTCAGTGTTTCAGTATGTAACGAAGAGGGAACTTCAAAGACGGTAACATGCAAGTAGTTAAAAAGCACCCTGTGGCAAGCTTTCCATTGATTGCAGTTACCAATATCAACACTGAGAACTTATGGGCTAAGGGTGAACGGTAATTATTATGCAGACATATTGAAAACCTATTTGCTTGGATCCATGAGGAAGTTAAGGTCATATTTGCTCAAAAGTAATAGCATTTTTTGGCTCTAAAACAATGCCCAGCCACATTGTGGTGCTCTAGCACTGCAGAATTGTTTGAAACTGCCGAGATAGCACTAGAATAGTCTCAATATAGCCTGCACTTAGCTTCAGAAGACTTTTCGGCGTTATAATCACTGAAAAGAGAAGTGCTAGGAAACATTCTGCTCAGATAAGGAAATGAAACACGCCGCAATTCTATGAGACCATGTAATTTGATGGCCTCAAAAATGTTCATTTTTGAATCGTTATAACTCTATAAAAAAGGAAAATTAATTGTGAACGGACTACTTAAAAATAGAGGGTGTATGAAATCATCTCTTTTTGAATAAAACGATCAGTCTTGTAACTTTCCAATCAAAGTACGTATTACGTTCATTGGTTTTGGGATAATAAATTAATCACAATACATCAAAATATTGTTTTAATTATTCGGCGAGAAAGATTAGTTAAAGTAATGTGCAAAACTTTTAAGCGGTATATTATTAAAAACAAAAGAAAATTTTAAATATATATTAAAGTGTGTAAAGTATATATTTTCGCATCTTCTGCCATAAATAATTCTAATTAGAAAAGTTACTTACGATTCTTGCTAGAAGTAAGAAGGTGCGTGGATTCAGTTTATTCCTTCTTTCCGTATGTGAAAAAATATCATACACTGCCAATAAGAAAAATATCACAGATGGTATCATGGCAGATACTGCAGTTTTGAAGCAATTAGAAAAGATTGGAACAGGATTATTCCAGAAGTCTAAACTCTACAAAAATGAAAAAAGTACTTTTATTTAGACTGCAAGCATCGCAAGTTCTTCAAACTAAAATAATGCAACTAATAAAATAAAAATGAATTCTCCAAGAAATTAAACAGTTTCAAAATACAAACATGCATGTTAACTTCTCATATATCGTTAAAACTATAAACAATGCTTCAGAAAGATATTTTTTGAAAATGTATGCTACAGAAAATGTATGCGCCAACGTTGCTTATGGCCACTGTTAAACTGAGTTGATCTTATTTCTTTAATTATCTTGTTTTTAAAGTAAATATTGTCAAAAGTTTTAAAATGTGTCACTAGTTAGTTCTTAGTATTTAAATAGCTAACTTAACAGACATATTTCTTATGTTTAGAAAGTTTTCAAAGTTGACGCAGTTATCTTCATACAGAAAACTGCTTGAAGGATATTGCTGTATAACAGAAAAGATCCAATCTTTCTTATGAGATCTTAAAACCTGGTTCAAAAAGCAAAGCAAAGTTAGCAGATTGTTTTCTTAAATTCTCTAAATATTCGCTTTAACTAATACTAATAACTAGAATACATTTAAAAAATATCAGATATTATAGTGTTAGGAAAGAAAATCATTTCTTCCCCCTGTGTCAGAAACGCAACATACCTTTTCCTATTAGCACTTGAGTTATTTTTCAGAAAAAGCACTTATAAAAATTAACAGAAAATACAGAAATTATACAAAAAAATCACGGCGTCACAACTAAGATAATAGACTACAGTGTGTGAAATGAACATTTAACGATTTGACGGTTGAAACCGTCTTCGCTGTTCTTATCTGCGAAAGAAGAATATGTTTTGCGTCTTCTTAGTTTAATTTAAAAAAACTATCCCCTAATTTTCTTAAATTATTTTACATTTTTAGTCGTAATACAAAATTAGTGAAAAAATTCATTTTATTCTCAATAAAAGCACAGAAAAATATATGCCGCTGTAAAGAAAAAAAATAAATATGCAATAATAACTGTTTACCGATTTTTACTTCCACCATTTTTAAAAACTGTTACTCATCCAGAACTTCATACTTTAAATTATATACAGATTAATTTTAAAATTGCTTAAGATAGCATTCATATGCAATAAAACTATAGTCACTATATCAGCCGGTCAACTGGAAGATGCTGCTAGAAGACCTTCGGAATGCTCACATCGGAAATGGTGGAAATAATATCGCAAAAACCTTAAAGGAGCATGAATTGTAATGTTAAATAAGAGGAAACTCTTACGGATCCTTTCATTAATTATCCAAGTAAATTTATCGAATTAAAATACACTAAATATGAAAGAGTTTTGAGGTTAGGGATATATTATACGTGTACAAGCCTATAGCCAACCTGGGCTGTCGCTCGCTCAGTAAAGATTTGTCTAAAAAGCCATGACTTTGAAGTTCAATAAAGTGAACATTTCAAAAATAGCAGATGAAACAAGAGCAGAGACTGTCCCGATGCTTTGATGACTTTGAAAGAAAGTTTCCAGGGTTCATATTTCAGATATGCAGCCTTGAAAGAATTGAAACATAGGTTGAGAGAAGTGTGAAACACTATGCTAGTGACAGACGGAGCAAAAGGTAAGTACTCGTGGTGTACATAGTACAGCACGAGTACTTACTTTTTGACTCGTGCTGTACCTGCTGTATGCACATGAAAAATTCAAAATATACAGTCCTGTACGGAGATCTAAATTCTCAAACAGTAAGAAAACAATATAGATAATAAACGCAGAAGTAAGGTAAAAATAAAAGTAAAGCAAAAACTTGTGTATAAATAAACATGTACTAAATAAATACAAAATATAAATCATAACATGGAAAAGAAAAGAAATATTTATAAGTACTTGTGCATTAAATTTCCAATTAATAAACAAAATTTCTGAGGTGCTTGCTAATTAGAGGGACTTAAATACCTATGCAGCACTGAATTAATAAAAATGCAAGCGTTAGCTGTAATGCAAAAAGCCTTTTCCTTTTTTATTAATTTCAGTTTAATAATTTTTTCCGAGGTAGCCGCTGTCCAAGCATAAAATAGGCCTGATATTCATTATGTATAAAGCTCTGTTGCTCCGAAGGTCCAGATTTGGTATGTAATCAATCAAGGGCAGGAGGTATTGGTGTATTACCATGTTGGCTGTACAGATTGCATACTTAGTTTGCTGGTCCCAGCTATAGTTGTAATTAAGGATAAAACCCCCCAAAACACTTAGCTTTGGTTACTCTCAATATTTACTCGTTCAACAAATAAAATTTTTCCTGCATTTCAGACTTGGTCTTGTGCCGGCTTACTGCAAGCAGATGAGACTTGCTTCCGTTAACAGACACCCTCCATTTCCGGCACCAATCTCCAATTTCGTAAATTTTGGCTTCTAATTTTTTAATTGCTTGGTTTCAGTCAAAACGATCTTTCTGCTACTGCGGTATCGTCACAGCAGGCCAAGAGAAGTCATATCCCGATTTAAGAAAATCATCTACGTAAATACCGCGGCAAGACAGGAATGCCGGATATGTAGAACAAGAACTACTTTATAATACTCTCTTTTCGAGTTGCAAAAGTTCTCTTTGCGTTAATTACAGTATGTTTACATTTAGAATGATAGCAAGTTTAACAGTCTTGTTTTGCATGTTAACTCTTGCTTTAGTAAGTCTTTGTAATAATGAAATTTTAAAACTTTCTTTCCGAGCTTGTCTCGTACGAAAATTGTATCAAATAAGCAATGCAAAGGGAATTATTTCGATGAGTTTATCGCTTTCAATTCATATATTTGGTGCCCTTGAAAAATAGAAAGTATTACTACTTGAGATAAATATTTGTTGCAAGCTTCGTCAGCAAGTGATCCAATGAAATAAATTCACAATTGTGTCTTGAATAATCATTTTCTTTAAATGAGGGGCTAAATCTCCCTATCACGTTAATTTATAATGAAATGACATCATAGGAATATTTTTATATCTTTAGGCTTTGCCATTTTCAGCGGATAATTTTAAATGCAAGATTTTACTCTCTATACCTTAGATTTTTAAACTAGGCCTATCGTAACTGCTTAGCTTAAAACTGTTTTAGGCTTTAAACTGAAATCTGCATACCAAGATCAAATTATAGTTTTTTTAAACTTAAGAAATTTTAATGGTAAATTCCTTGAAGCGTCAGACTCTAACAAGAAGTTCTCACATTTGAATTTTTAAAATATTTCTCTCTTATACTTTGATTCCAGATAGAAATAACTTCACTAAGATAAATCTTTTGTACCAGTAATTGTATTTCTAAATTTCCATACTCTATGGAGAAACTTTCATTAAGTATATTTACTCCAAAAAGAAAACATATCCACTTTCCATTCAAAAACGAACAACTCCTTACTGACTTTGACTGCCGAATGTTCAGATGAAAGTAGCAAAATGCACGCTTCTCCCCAGTTCCGAATTTTTTTTTTTTTTTTTGTTTTTTTTTTTTTTTTTTTTTTTTTTTTTTTTTTTTTTTTTTTTTTTTTTTTTTTTTTTTTTTTTTTTTTTTTTTTTTTGTTTTTTTTTTTTTTTTTTTTTTTTTTTTTTTTTTTTTTTTGTTTTTTTTTTTTTTTTTTTTTTTTTTTTTTTTTTTTTGTTTTTTTTTTTTTTTTTTTGGGGGGGTGAGGTGTCTGTTATAAATATCTTCTAGCGTCAATTCTTGGATCTTAAGGCAGACAAAACAAAAATTCTGAGGTTTAAAAAGTACGGTCAGATAGAGAGAAGATTCGAAAAGAAAAAGGTAAGTTTCTCTCCCTCCTCCCCCCCTTTTTTTTTTCCTTTTTTGATTCAATATTTGGATATCTTTTTAAATCGGGGATTTGGATTTGTTTTTAAATCAAAAATGTGTTTCTTTAGTATAAAAGTTTTTTTTTTTTAATTGAAGATTTGTATTTTTTTTATACCAAACATCAGGATTTTTTTTTAATTCAAAGTTTTGGAATTTTCTTCATTAAACTGATGATTCCACTACAAACGCTAACAATATAAAGAATTTACGTTAACAACTCTACCATCTTATTATCTGCTTGAGATGAATTGAGGCACTTTATTTAGAGCCCTAATTGGCGAAACATACACAAAATATGAAACTTCGATCTTTAGAACCGTGTGCCTAAAGTTTTTCACAATAATTTCATAAATATTGATCTGCGCATAATTTCTAGTCATAGTAAATTAAGGTTATTCTAGAATTCTTTTCGTTAATTTATATTTTCGAACTTTCAACGGATTTCGTTTAACCGTTTCTATCAAGCCATGTTTTGAAACTTTCCCCACAATTTGAAGAATAAATGCACCATATTTAAACGGAAACAGTCTCTGGATCATTAGAATTATAGCTAGCGCAAAGCAGCTTCTAATGCCAAACCTATATTTTGCAGACGATCGAAACTCGATCCTAAAAGCCATACAAAGTGGCTTTGGCCCTTCACTTACGTGAAGCTGCCGAGTGTTAGAGAAAACTTTGCTGTACACCACATTCACGTTGGAAGTCTTCCTCTTATTACAGTACAGAGAGTAAGTCATAATTATGACTACACATCTGTAGCACAAGTAAATAAATGTAATGTATTACCATACATTACAGAAGAAAATTATAAACGAAATATTAAATTTGTAACTTCATTCTTTTCATTGCAAATAAGAATCACGTTCACAGCTAGCGTCATTAACAAGATGGCGATGAGCACACACAGCAAAGTATTGATGTTTGAATGATTGCATAAAAGAATGGTCATGTGTTCATGAGATGAGAGAGACATGATTTTAATGTAACACTGTTTCCATCGGCTGTGGAAGTGAAGGAAACCGACTGCGTACAACTAGAAACATCCAGAAGTCGAAACATCCTATAAGTATTAGTAGCACCGATGTACTGACAAGGAAACATCGAGGCAGCTTAAAACAGTACAGGAAATTTGGTCAAAGAATATGTACATAGACGTTCTTTAATTTGGTTGTTTGAAGGATTGACGTTTCAGCAGCCATAATATCACACGACGCGATCAAACATGTAATCACATTTCTGCTTCACTTGTGTGTTACAATAAAAATCAAAACCCTCAATTAAAAAAATTTAAATATAGTAAAACAGTTGATTTAAAATATCGAATATCGTAAATAAAATGACTAATAACAATCTAGCTTAAAATTTATGCTTTACATATGGCAATGGTAAGCGCTTTCCTGCAGTTTGTGCAATCACCTATTACATGGTTTGCAACTGTAATTCCAGTTTTCCAGCAGGCAAAAAAAAAAATTCAGCTGTTGGTGGGATCGACAAAGGAAGCTTTTGTGATCGATTGGACCGTTCCTGGAATATCGTAGTTAAATGGTGTAATCGTAGTCGAATTAGGTCGGATATTTATGACTTTTTATGTCATTTTGCGGTGACGAATTCCACATTATCTATATAGCTCCGTGCAAAGAATAACACATGAAGAAGAACTACATTAAAATACGGTCACATAGTTTTTTGTCTTTACTACTTAAAATGCCTGTCCTCAATTTGTATGCGCAACATAGTATTTCGGTGGCAAAGTGATGTAAATTAAATACTGCAGCGCCATTACAGTCTCGAAATCTATTACGCAAATGTTTTCCTGATAGTATGTCCATACGATTCCGTCAAAGGTAAAAGGCTGGAACTGACGAGTTGAAAAGGTTCTTTTTATCTTAACGAATAGTTCTCATAAATCATGTATTATTTAAATTCGGTTAATACAAACAGCAAATACATTTCATTAACATTTGCACGATTTAAATAAGTTTTGCATATTGTTCAGTAAGAAGATTGAAGATCACAGTTTTAGCAGTCTTAACCAAAGAATATTGTACATACTTTTGATACATGCCAGGATTTTCAGGATTTATTCTGTTTTAGAGAATGTTATAAGAAAAACAAACTTGATTATTTTATGTAAAAAGGTTAAACTACAAGCCCTTTTCATGAAAGAAATGAAAATACTGATGTAAAATATGATATGTTTTTTATTACGTCATCTCACGTTTTTCTACTGAACGACTATTATAAAAAAAGGATTAGTATAACCTTGCGTAAATTCAACGGAGAAAATTTGATAGGAAAACAAAAATATCACTAGTCGATGGTTCATCACACTGCAGTATTCTCTATATTACAAGTTCCAAGCTCCATGTACACGTGTAAATGTAAACTTAGTTAGCCTACCCCTTGTAAGGCTAAGTAAAACTAAGTTCTTAATATGAGTTTAGTGAAAATAAAGCCGCCCAACCGGTATAGAGGTTAGCGTCGCTGACTGCCGTGCTGAAGGGCACGGTTCCGAACCTAGGAGAAGGCATGGATGTTTGTAAATGTATACCGTCGGTACGGCATGGCGGCAGTCTAAATTTGCGGCGAGCCGAAAGTTCTCTCGTGTGGTTTGGTGGAAGGGGAGAGGGGTGGGAGACCCTCGGACTCGACCCCCAGGGTGCTCTCCGTCAAAATTGGAGACGGAACTGAGCTAAATTGCACTGTCATCTTAAATGGTGCTCAAGGGTGTTTGTTGCCAATGGCAGGCGTAATCTAACTCTTGTTGCCACGAGAAATTTCATGGGCTTGGGCTGACTACGTCAGACAAGTGATCATAAGCTATAACACTGAAAATAAAGCAGAACATTTTGTGCTCGCGTGTAAATTTGGCGTTCAGAATGCATACACAGAAAATAAAATGAAAAATTTAACAAATCTTATAAAATTAAAATAAACTAAAATTGGCTGGGTATTCGAAGAGAAACTCACGTTTCTTTGCTAATTTGTATAAGAATACCGCCATCCTTACACAAATCAGCCAACCCAGTCATTAAGACAGAAAACTTCTTAATGATGCCCTGAAAAAATTTCGAAAAATGCTTTATGAAAACCAGTTTTTTAGCATGAAGAAATAACCTTCATAAATGTTTTGGAACATTTGCAGCAAGTAAATTTTTGTTTGCCTTATTAACAGAAATAATAAACTAAAGCCCCACATCCGTAAGGGTGCCCCGACATAAAAGTATTTGCACCCAGCCTTTTTTTAAAAAAAAAATTCAAGTTAAAAACCGGTCTTTTAAAGAAGCCTGTACCTTTATGAGAATTAGCTAATACTGACCAACCTGTCTAAAAGTGCCTGCCTGTACTATTATAACGGAACATATACCGCATTTAAGCTCGCGCATTTCGTCTACGGTTGAGATTACTTGTTAATGCAGAATCGCAATTCACCTTACACATCCAACCTATAATTAAGACTGTTTATCAATAATTCTGTTGAAGAAGAAGTCCTTGATGCAGTTGCTATTAACATAAATTCAGATTTTGTAGCTCATTAGCTTCTTTTCTGTTCTTGACATTGCACTAACAGTGATAGTTTTTCCAATTCCAATCTTAGTTTTAGATATAACAGTAATAATGCCTGCTTAAATTTAATTCGAAATAATGAATAATTAAATGATAAATTGAATAACAAACAAATAATGAATAAATAATAAATTGAATAAATATATAATAATAAATGTCTGCTTTTTTATTACATAACTGAAGAATAAGCCATCTAACGGAAAGGCGTAGTAAAAAGATAAGCTATACGAAACACTATTATTCATAGAGTTCTACGAAGAAAGGAAATTTGGAACTTACGCCAAAACCAACTGCCCCCCCCCCCAAAAAAAAAAAGAAACTTTGCTAGAAAATGCTTTCAGATGTTTTTATCCAAGGACCAAGGGCATTTAACATAGATCGCCTCACATCAATAAATAATTTGAAACTGAAACGGTAAACAGCTTGGAGAAAATTATTATTCAAGATACAACCGAGGAGAGGAATAAAAAGACAGGAAACCTCCTGAACTGGAATAAAAAAAAAATGAAGAAAAGAAAACTAGAAGTGAATCTGAGAACGAAGGAGAGAAAGTATTTTGGTCAAGAGAATTGAATGAATCTAAGTTCGTCCTGTCATAAATTCGGCGTTAAGAAATCTGCCCTTCTACCCCCTTCCCCTATGTGATTTGCAGTTCGAATGAAGCTCTTTTGTGAGAATTATAAAAAAATTATTATTAAAGAAAATACATCAACAAGAACATTATTATTCTCATTGCCTTTTCTATGTGTTAATTGTCGTATCTAAGAACTCCAGAAGTTAAAAAACTATAACTCAACTTACCCAAAAGTCATCCATAGCACACGCCATTTCTGACGGAATCCAGATGCGACTGTCCTCTTGACCTTGATAAGAAAAAAAGAAACAGGGAATCAGACAGCTCAGCCAAGCAATCCAGTTTTCTTTGCAGTTTATTCTTTCTTTTTTTTTTTTTTTTCTTCCGGGGAGGGGGTTGCGAATCAATATTCATACACACTTATAATAAACTTTGTAAACTAATTACTAGGTGTAATGAACCCTAGACATTTGATTACCGGGTTGTAAAGGATGAATCTTCTCTTTAAAAACCAATTTGTTTTGAAAATCATGTAGCGGATTCTTAGTTTCTCGTAATTTAAATTGTTGCGTAACATCTGAGGATTACTGAGAAATGAATAGCCTTGAAGAAGCAAGAAACCTGAAAAAGTATGCAAATCTAGCTTTGTCAGTTTTTTGGCTTCAAGTTAAAGATTTTAAGTCTTCTGTTTTGTTACTTTCAAGGTAAGATATACGAATTCATTTCAGCTCGAAGATAACTCCATTCTATTTCATATTTAATTTTCACATATATCGAGTAGCTTAATTCAGAGTGTTACTTTGGAAATATAATGTATCAGTTTCACAATAAAGCACCCAGAATTTGGTTAGGTTATTTAATTACGGCAAAGTCTCGAGGGCTATCTGCCTAAGGGGAGGGATGACTTCGTGGAGGACTTTCTAAGGGAAACTGGCTCGTATACACGTTACACATGGGGAAAACCAAGAAAACACCCATGCAGCCAGCCCGTTCGCGGGATTCGACCCTCGGACCGAACTACCAGTGTTCAGCGACTTTACCGCTCGGCCGCTGGTGGGCGTTTCGTGTTAGGTACATAGCCTTCTCATAAAAGTAGTTATAGTGGAAATCAAATACAAAAGTTAAGTAATACGAGTATACGACACTATTTTAATACATTCTGGAATAGATATAAATTAGTTGACAGTTTTATTATGCTTCATTTTTAATCAAGAAATTGTAAAAAAGAATGTTAAAAAATCTATATAATAAATATTAAAAAAATTTTTTATTATATATTTCAGCTGAATTTACAGTCCCTTAGACCAGTGGTCTTAAACTGGCGCCCCATGATCTCAAGCAATTTTATGCCGCCCGCGAATAAATTTATGTATTTAGTTGCAAAAACAGTGTTACTAAGATTTTACTTATGTGAAGTCTAAGTTTATATTGTTTTCACTACCATTAAAAACGAACATGAATAACGCACCACAAAATCTATAAATGGAGTTAATTAATTTACATGATACAAATCTTAAAGAATTAAATGCTGTAGATTTTATTAACTTTTATTCGTACTTGTCAAAAAATGAATACCCTCAGTTATGAATTTTTGCACTAAGAACAATCACTTTGCTTGGAAATACTACATCTTTTTTTCGTAGTTGAAAACTAATAAGAAAAAGTCTCCAATTAACCAATGAACTTATATAATTCATGATGAAGATAATATCTGGCTAGTACTTTCTATCCAAGTCTACAAACTGTCAGAATTAAAAAGCCACCAAATTCAAGCTATAATAAGACATAACGAAGTACCTAATTATTTTCATACCTTTTTTTTATATTTTAGTCGAAGAAAAATTTAATAAATAAAAGAAATACTGGGTTGTCATTATTTATTCTCACGTTCTGTCCCATTCGGAAAATTTTCCCTGAAAACTTTCATAATTCGTTTGTTTGAACGCTTTCATACTTCTTTTGTTTTTAATTTAAGTTGAAGTAAATTAATTAATGATTAATTAAACATACCGGAATTACTTGAAACAAATGTCTGTCTGAAAATTTAATATTTGTCTATTAATAAATTGTGTAACAAACTAAAATGTCTTGCAGGTACCAAACTTTACTTGCAGGTACCAAACTTTTATATTATCAGATAGAAAATAAGTATAAATTTGAATTTTGTTCCCTTTGGGATATTTTTGTGTGTGTGTGTGTGTGTGTGTGTGTGTTTGTGTGTATGTATTGATAAAATCTAGTAACTGAAATTCAGAATTTATCAAAACTATTTTTATTTTTTTTAATAAAATGAAAATTTATTACTAACAAAGGTTCATCAGCTGTTTTCAGATCGACTATTCCACCAGCATGTAGTCCAAATTTGAGACCACCGCCTTAGACATTTTGCCAATATTTTTTTACTTACATCACTATCACGGCGCTTACTTCGTTTTCAATCAAAATTATAGACTTATTTTATTGTAAATGATATTATTCATCATTTCTGCGAATACCTGTTTATATATCTGAAATATATTCACAAAGCTAGATCAGAAACTTTTCCATTAGAAGACAGCAAGCCACAAACAATTTTCTCTTGTACGTAAACTATATGCCAATTCGATACTTCCAACGAGAAAACACATTTTCGTCATCAGCTTATATCAACTACGGTAATTACTATTTTTAACTATAACTACTATTTTTGTAAACATAAAAAACATATCTTAAATTAGTCACTTAGATAAAGAAACAATGAAATAAAATGACACACTCTGAAAACGTTTTACTGAAAATTATTACTTTAAAAAAAACACTGTTGTAAGATATCATAAAAAATACGTTTAATTTAATGGTGGCAAACATAACTTTGGCACATATATCTTTCTGTAGAAAACTGGCCCGGATTGTCCTATAACAGGAACGAACAAAGAATTTTACTCATAAATAAGTAGGATTATATTATTTTTGGATCTGCAACATTTATGCATTAGATTTTGATAATGCCAATTAAAAGTTAATAATGTTAATTTGTATGTCAACGGAGAACAAAATTAAGTTTTTAGGGACAACACCTTTAACACAGAGAAGAGGTTTTTTCGAAAATAAGCTTGTTTAAAAAAGTAGCGAATTTATAGCTAATTATAATTTTCTGTGATTGGAAAAACCTTCTAGGATCTAAGGCAAAAAATGCAGACACGAAAATAATGTAACATTAAACGTCTGGTCTCTGTTATATAAAAACATAAAATGGCATTAGCGGCACCGAAATTCTTATGGCGTAATTAATGATATATTTTTTATTCATTAATTATGTCTGGCATGAGTGAACATGCATGAAGTTCGTTAACTGTTTCATTTCAGATTGAATTTATCGAATTGTGTTTTCCTAGTAATTTTAAAAAACTGAAGGGACATTTTTAAATGGCACAGTGTTTCAAAGTTCGAAAAAATATTAAATACAGTTGCATTCACATATATTACTGTATAAATAGTAAGAAATTGTAGAATAGATAATTATACTCCCACCTCCAAAACAATGACAGGGCACTTGTTGATAAGGTATTCGCTGGGAATTATGATCAACCGCTTTAAATCCCGTATCCAAATAACCGAACCAGGCATCCAACGTTATCAGGATACAGCACCAGAAAAGGCATTATTGCAGTCGCAAGGAGGGAAGGGGAAAGAAATAACCAACTAATCCTTACTTGGAAAATGCCTTACATGGAAATAGAACCTGTGCGCTTGGGTTTGGTCTGCAGCCTACTTGTGCTAACTATCAAATTCTCTAGGAAGCTAAACTGACGATATTTAATATTATGGCATCCAGAATGAATATTTAACGCTGAATAAATATCATCAAGCATTTATCTGCATAGTAATGAACAATAAGTGGTAGAAGATACATACAGAGTTACTTATTCGAAGGCGAATTTAAAATCCTAGGATTAATGTCCTTCTAAAGATTCAACAAATCAAGATTACTTTCTTTTTGGGAGCTCACATTTCCTTTAAATCCCATTATGTTAGTAATAATATTTTTTTTATTAAACTTTGCTTAAAAGTCAGTTTTTTAATAAACAAAACTGAATATTTACCCTTCGCATCACCATCATTTTTTAAGAAAAATACATTTCTGTCTAAAGATGTGAAAGATTGAAGCAAACGGTAACAAATTTTCTCTAGCATGCACTTTCCTTTTTAAAATTGCATTACATAGCCGCATCCATGAGCTACACCAACAGGGAAAAAATTGGTTACATTACATTATAGCAAAGCACACTAAAATTACCTGTCTAAGAATAGGGATGCTTTTATGGATGCGGGAAATGTTTCGTATTCACATTAAACGTGGGAAAATTACGAAAGCGCTCATACAGCAATCTCGTTTGTCGGGGTTTAATCCCGGGTCAAATTATCACTGTTCAGCGGTTTTAATTATTACTAAGCACCTTCCGTCCAAATTACGCTCACTGCTTGTTAAATTCTTTCCCCTGCTGTATAGAATATAGTCAAGGGTTTATCAAATATTGCCGTCTTCTAAAAGAAAATTGCATCAGTTTTTTCCAGTAATTTTAAACAAAATTAGAACTGCATCATTTCTTTTTATATTTATGAACTTTTCTTATTTTGTATATTAAATAAGTTTTTTTATTATTTTTATAGAATTCGATTTCCATCTTATTTACTTTATTTCCTACAACTTTCTTTTTCCAGTATTCTAATTTAAATTTATCTTTAAAAATTTTTTTAAAATTTGATTTCCATCTTATTTCCTACAACTTCTTTCGACATTATAATTTAAATTTACTTTTTCATTCAATTTCTTCTTTTCCGTACTTGATGATGACCTTTCCGCCAATCTTGACAAAGTTTCAGTAATTACAACTCAGCTCCTATTATAGCTCGGTAGGATTTATTTCCATACTCCTCCTATATCTTTTTCTAAAAATATTTTGGCTAGCCTGCATGAATCAGCATGTGAAGGCATCGAGGAATCAAAATGAAACTTCCAAGGTGTCCTGCAGAGCAATAAAAGTTCTGAAAATCCTACATAAAATTCCTAGTCACTTAATAGATATATAAAAACAAAGATCTTAGAAATATAATTTCCTTATATTTGTACACCAGATAATTACACCCGAGTTAGCCGAAGTATGTTTAAGAACGATTTACTAGCCATATAAATATTAAAAACTGAAAAGAAATAGCTCAACTCCTAGTCTCCTGAGAAGGAAATAGAAATAATAGGATTAAATGTAGTTTAGCAAAGCACACAAGAGCTATCTGCCTAAAAAGAGATGC